ACACAGGTAGTAGCTGTGGCCTCATAGTACACATGTAGTGCGGCAAGCAGCTTCTAGGAGCTGTGGCCTCAGAAGTGGCCAAATTGCATCTGAGTACGTGAGTGCCGTTCGTGAGTGTCCCAGTGTCCCACAAAAGTGTTGCACAAGAGTCCGCAAGAGTGTCCCACAAGAGTGTCCTACAAGAGTGTCCCACACAGTGACCAAAGTGTCGCACGAGAGTGTCCCAGAAGAGCGCTCTACAAGAGTGTCTCCTACAAGAGTGTCAAAAAATGTTTGGGCGTTTGTTTTCGAGTACGTGTTTGCATTCGGGTGCGTGGGTTCCATCTTGTTCTTTGTTTTTACGTGGTTTTGGTGCAGAGCTTGACTTACCTATGTTTGCTTCAAATCCCGAAATTCAAGACAATTCAAGCATGTATTCTGATACAAATTGCTGGCAACTCGGCCTGCCCATACTTCTCGAGCCTCTAACAGCCTCTCTCTCACTCCCTCAGTTTATAGCGTCTTTCTGTGTGGCAAGATGCTCAAAAGGCCTGGAAGCCCGTCGACCACCTGCGGATCCTCTCCAGCGAAGCCCAAGCGTGCAGAACTGTAGCCTGCTAGCGAGCATCTCGTCAGTCAATAGTCATGTCGGTGAGATTTGAAGCGTTTGATGGACAAAACGTCACCCAAACACTTTCGGAGGCCATCGCAATTAATTGGAGGAGGCCATCAGTAGGTGTCTTTTTTGTTTTTTCTGGCTTTGGCTTGCCGTTTGTGTCATCGAATCGCCCATTGAGCTCTTCAGCTTTTCTACATTGAGAAATGACAACGATGACTTTGAAGCCACAAAAGGGTTGTATTAGTTGTATTGAAAAAAAAGGAGAGTCACGACTCACAACAGGCCAATGTCGATCAACTCAAATGCTGGTGCTCCACTCCGCAGTCAAAAACACAATGTGTCATGGCCTATATCCACAACCGCGACCCGCCGCCATTGCTCTACATGCATATCAGTTCAGGTTATTTCCCGCACTACATCCTGGCTGGTATTTAAGTTCAAATAGTTACATGTGATGTTGAATTATTTGTTGTCCAGCAAACATACTCGTGCGTGTGTACAAATACTAAAAGTCATATTAGCGCCAGCATCAATGATCATGTGTGAATCCTGCCTATACACTACACTCAGAATAATCCCTGCATCGAGAAGTTAGGGTGGTTGGAAGAATAATAGTAGGGCGATAGCGACGATAGTGATATTATCTCGCACAATCACAAAGACCAGGCACTCAGCATGACCCTCTCTTGAAATTGCTTACAAGGTCAACCACCTAACCTAGTCCTTGAATGCAAAGACAACTGCCAAACCGCATTGCTCGCCCTAGCACAAGGCAGCGACAAATCTGCCTACTGCCACAACAAAGCTGGGCAAGCAGCAATCAATTGTCTTGAAGGACAAGAGAGTCTTGGGGCCAGGCTGGTCTACAAGCGGGTTGTAGCAGGTATCGCTCCATTCAGACCAGTCCTGTGCACTGTCTGAGAGGTGTCCATGTATCAGGCAATTCTGAAATCCACAACTGTCAACTGTCGCTTGGAGGTCAATAGCAAACACCTGGCTTGTCAACATGTGGGTCGCTGCGGCTACATGTTAATGTTTTAACATGGAATTTGTGCCCTTTCTGCAATACTACGATACCATGCACCGCCAGATCTCAGAGCAAACACTGTGAAGCCAGGAGTATCTAAGGCAAGAGCATCCCAGTGGCAATTCACATCCTCCTGCAGTTGGCACCTGCCAGGTTGTAAGGGGATCGAGGCCTTCCTGACACAGGTTGTTTCACAGCCTTCTAGTCGTAGTCTGTCCAAATGCTTCAGGCTCGTGTGGGCTATAGGTTGAATATACAAACGCAACTCAGGCTTGTTCCTGCCTTGAGTCAGCCATGCAGCCGGAACCACCTCCTTTCGTCATCACTCTCGGTCCATGACAAGGCCTGCGAGGAGGAAGCACCGAAGAACATGAAACATATCACGAAGAAGTTATTTGCAAATGTTTAAGGACATATTACCTTAGCTTGGCGCTTCCCAGGTCAAGAAACCTTGAAGGTGCATGTTAAATGAATAGCAAGAGCAGCTGATTTCCCAAAAGAAACAGCTGCCCCGCAATTTGAGCCAAGCATGTATTTGGTTCAAAAAAGAAGGCACATGTCACCACATGCGCCTGCCGCAGTCGTTGTTGCGCTGTATGATGCTCCTTCGAGTGTGGCTGGTTGCAAACAGCTGCAGGATGAGATGGCCCTAGTTATGCAGCATGCAATCTGTCACTTGGACTATGTCTTGTCAAGTTGAACAGCCGTTTTCCTGGCCTCTCCCGCTGGCAAAGGCCGAAGCAGCCGCCAAGGTTTGACCTTGATATGCCCAGATTGCCTCGTTGAATATGTTTGAAGTATGTTGAAGTAATACAAACAATCACGAAGACACGTTCCTGTTTCGAGGAGGTAGGTCCACATTGCGTCTGGAACGTGACTGATTCTATATACCTCTACTCTCTTCTTCCATGTACTAGCTCATCCATCATCCACACACCAAGTGTGCTGAGAACATCATTCGGGTAGAGTCAAGTGTTGAGATTCAACGTGTAGCTCCAAATCGGTGAAATGGACCTACTTCTCCTGTACGGGTACCTTTGAAAAACTCAATGCACAACAGTACAACCTCCGTGCGGGGGTAAAGACTCACCATTTGGTGGACAAAGTCATGTCCTTCTTGTCGGCTAGTCCCTGCCGAAATGATTTGTCCAATGCCTAACAGCTCGTTTCTGAAAAAGGTCGTTCGGCCACTGGGAGTGCTGACCAATGCGACCAATCGCTGAACTCGCAGTTCACTGGCTCACAGGTCTCAAGACATGACCTTCAGGAGTGAGGGAGGGATGTGTGGCGGAAGTCAAGAGGATTTCTGATCAACTACAATCTAAAAAGCAAGCTACATGACTGCCATGACTGCAGTAAGTGCATAACTTCCAAGTTGTGCCGCATGGATTTGTTTCACTTTGTAACTCAAAGGGCTTGTATAATTGATTTATTATTCAAGAAAAAAGCTGGAAAATATTCGATCTAACTATGTCCTGCAAATGTCTGGAATAAAACAGGAAATTCTAATCTGATCCAATCACTACATGAGCTCCTGTCACAAAGCTCAAACCTCTGCATTGATACAGCCTACCACTTCCCTTTGGCGAACCCTTCAGACTTAGCGACTAAGTCATTCATTCAAAGTCTGTGACAAATCAAAAGGACTTGCCAACGATGCTGGAATCCTTAGATGCTGACGCTGCCAAACATGAGCTGACTTCCTTCTCGAAACCTGAGTTCAGTGCCAAAACTGCTGCGTCTTGATCGCGCTTCAAATATGTGCAAATGTTGAATAAAAATATAAAATGACACAATCCCATCTCTCCTTTCTTTGCTTCACCTTTTCCTTCCAATTCTCCTGCCCTTCTGTGGTCTTTCCTTTATATTGTTTCTCTGTACAATTAATTTGTAGTTATAAGTTATATATATATTTATTACATAATTACTTCAATATAATATAATCTTTAGCAAGGAAGGGAGGTAGGGCGGGCGGGAGGGAGTCCCGTTGTTCCTTTGATCTTGACATGGAGATGTGGCTTTTACAGTAAAATTGCTAATTGCTGCCGATTGTACAGTCAGGGTTCGACGCATTGCCACACACTCGGGCACCCTACCAGCACATTTCCCAACCGGCTTGTCGTTGAAAGGGAAAACCTCAGTGCAAGACTGGATGCACAAAGCCGTCTGCCGCACAGGCAATATTTCTAGTCTATACAGTATTTAAGAACCGCCAAAATTAAGTTTGCCTCGACATACCTCGAGGCCTCGAGGTGCCTTCTCCCTCAAATTAAAGCTCACACATGCAAAAATTGAATCTTTCCTGAAGGTCGATCTATGTGGATTGATTGCAGTCATCTCGCCCTCTCCCGTTGCAATAAGTTGAAGCGAAACAACTGTCAAAACTGCTTCTTTTGCACAAGCGGAAAACTCATGTTGAATGGTCGCACAAAAATAAGACAAACATTAATAATTAATCATGCATGTTCTTTGGCACCAGGGTTGGTCAGTGTCTCTGTACAACCATGTCCGTTCCTCAAGAGAAATAGTTGGCGTGCAAGAGAATGATTCTGATAAATCTGACACTGAACATCAACCCCTTTGGAGATCAGTATGGAGAACAAAGCAGAACTGGCAGGAAGAGAAAGGGCAAGCACAGCGAAATGATGTGTTTTTGAGGGTCAGGCCACCACATCTGGTTTATCTTCACAACCAAGCCCCTCAAATTTGCAGCAATATTCCTTGCATGAGTGCAAACCATAAACCGGCGATGCACCGGTGGGTTCAATTATCTACTCCATGGCAAAGGGTTTAACATTATTATATATAACCCTGCACAGCTAACTCCTCAACAAATAAAACGTGGGTCTATCCTATGACCTGCAACAGTGGATGATGATGGTTAGTAAAGGCCTTGTTCAAAAATGATGATAATTGTTTACTGACTGTTACAGGTAATAGGACAAACAAACCCTAAATAAAACTATAATGAACTATAGAAGCTTGCAATGAACAAGGGCGGGGAAGGAGTTGGATGTATGAATGTTCATGCATCAGCCCAGGATTCTTTGCTCAGTGTCGAGGCATTCAAAGAATGACAAATAAACAAAGGCACAAACCAAGCACTGCCTAGATCTCAATTATTCTCAAATTGTGTCTGTAGGCACAAAAATCGACTGTGCATGACTGTGCTTCTGTGATGTCCTGCAATGACAGCAGGTTGGCAAATCTCACTCCACTGCAATTGCTGTCTGTCCTTCTTGTCAGACGACCAGCCCTCTCGAAAGTTCCAGTAACCCACTCGGCATGCGAAGGGCCTTGGTTCAGAGCAATTCATGGCTGGAACGCCTAGGGCCATCGAGGGCTCAAAAAATATCAAAAATGAACCTCGTGTGTGTGTGTGCTCCTTGCTCTTCATCAAAAGCTCAAAATTGCTTGTGCACACAGCGGATCAAGGGTACAACGGTATAACAATGTTTGAAGTGTCTGGAAAAGAGCCACATTTTGTATGTCAGCTGGTGAGACACACCAAGTCAAGAATTATCGGTATGCGAGTTTCGCTGCCACAAGATACACAAATTTGACCACAACCAGGCTCGTGAAAGTAACTTGAGGCTGAGATCAGGAAATTGGAACAAACATGCACATCTGGACTATGTGCTCAGCCACGGACGGCCTGGTTGGTCGCTCGTCTCCCCTGCAAAGATTGCTACCAGTGTGGTCTAACATGTGGATTTACTCCAGAATCAAAGTGGCATCACAGCTCAGTGTACATGCTTGCAAAATGCACTGCAGTATCTAACAGAAAGGTGGTACTGTAGGGAATTACAACTATGCAAATAGTGCAAACAATACCTACAAGGGCTGATCCAGAATGAGTTGCTTAAAGAAGCCCTCTGTTGTGCGTACGGTTCTTGCTCGCAGCCAATGTCGGTGTGGCGGCAACACCTCAGAGGCAAACCACTACAAAATGCAACAAAGAATTCCTTGAATCAACGAATTACTAGGACTAGGCGAAGTAGCAACCCAAACCTGAACTTTAAATAACAAATATCTCTGTATCAGGGCAACAGGGCTGGACAAAGGAAATACCCCTCAAGACTCTTGGCTTCCTGAGTGTTTCTTCATGTTTTAACATGTTTGTGGACATCTCTGGGTTTTGAGGTGGGAAATCAAAGGTCTATTGAAGAAGCTCGTCATGCTGTAGATGTCAGCAGCCCTGATCTAGTTGGAAAGGTCTGAGACAGTCAGTCAACTATATAACTATAATTATACACCAAGGTGGTGTAAAGCATACGTAAGCACCTATGCAAAACACTCCCAATATACCCTTGGTACGAAGAACCGAAGAACCTACCGTTGATCTCCATGCCAGTTCACACAATTCTCGGTCATTGAACATCCGCAGTAGAAAAGGCACATGAAGATGTTGCAGCCTTTTCTGCGGCGAGAACAAGATCCTGGTCTCAAGCAAATAAAATTTGTGGCCTGGCTACTAGGGGCTCCTGGCATTGCTACTAGGAGCAAGGACGCTACTAGGGGCTGTAACATGCTCAGTGCTCAGCTGTTCAAATATACACGAGGAACAAAATACGGGTGTCCCGTCTGACATCGGTGCCAAAACCACTCAAACCAAACCATGGTGTTTCAATGTGAACAGCAAAGCCAGGCGTTGAATGGATCATGTCAGATGAAGCCCTCAGAACTTGAAGTATTGACCGAAGGCGTCAGGCATATTACCTCAAGGGATCCATATGAAAAGCAAATGACAACTTCAAGAAGAAATGACAGGTACAGTCTGGTTCACCTGTTTGTCAGCCAAAATGGAACACCATGGAAGACCTACACATGCACATACTGCATGCATCAACTTGGATCTGGTGCACGTGGCAGGTAGTGCTATCAGATTTAATCATGGACATCACTAACCCAAACGCCAAAACTATGTTGACGTACATACATGCATACATGCTGCAAACATGTAGTGCTGTGTCTGAACAATTTCTAGCATGCAGGTCAATTCAAACGGCATTATATCGACCAAAAAGCACCTTCACCTTTACCACACTGCCAAATGAGAGTCAACCCCTGATGACCAGGTTCTCAAGCATTCTTCTGGTGGATATGACTGACTGTTTATCCAAAACATGTGCTGCTACTACTAGTAACAACACTTATAAAATTTATCTGACAATATTGGTCTCAAGAGATCTCGATCACACAAGACAAGAGCATCTTCACAGAAATAGTCGTGATAAAAGACTTCCTTCCGCTATTGTGCAACGCAGCTGCCACCATCCTTCAAAACCGATTGTGTCGCTGCTTCCGATGCAAATCGTGTGTAGAAGTTGCTTAAACCTGGGTAGTCTTTCAGGATGTTCTCCTCGCAAATAAATCGTCAGATTGCTTTTGGAGTCAAACTGTCATACTCCGATCATATTGTGCCAACAAACAATGGTTATGCAAGCATAATTCCAAGCAAACCAAAAGCGCCATTCATCCACAGGTTGTCGTAATCGGATCCAGGTTTGGGGATGGTTTGGCGTCTGCATGCACTCAAGGCAGTCCTGGATAAGCTTCAAGGCATGAAGAGTGGAGAAGAGCTTACATTCGCCAACAGTGACGCCTGAAGAGGTAAACTTGCCACCTCAGACCAGGCTCAACACTTCTGACATGCTTGACCCAAGCACAATGAAACCTGTTTCTTTCTGAGGGGCTTGGAAAGAAGCACACCTGGATCACTGAAAACAAAGTAAGTAAGAACAGCTGCAGTAAATCAAACTCCCTGCCCCTGTTATTCTTGAAGTTCAACGAACTCCCTAAAGGAGGCAAGCAACCCTCAGCTGCAACAGGCCAAGGTGCTTTGTGCGCCACATCTTTCGTAGAAAGCCTGAGAATGTAGCAAGCACCGCAAAGCAAAGCCTCTACTCAGCTTCGGCAAGCATTCTGTGACTACACTACACTGATACTACGTATATAAAAATGTGTTATAATACTGTATATATATATATATAAAGGGTGATCACCCTTAGGTCCACGGGCTGCTGAGTGTCCTCTGCAACCTACCATGTGATCTTCATCAAGGGTCCGTCGCAGAATGATAGCCAGGCAGCAGCATCACAACGTGTTTTTCTTTTTTTCATATATTGTTTTAAAGCACATACCAATTGTCAGTGGCAACAGTGTCCATTCAAGACGAACAACTTCGTTGCTGGAGTGAAGGTCGAATATCCACATATGTAATCATATATATTACTGCATGTATATATTAAAAAATGAAAATACATTATTAATGACCTGGGTCTCGAGCTTGCGGACGCAGAGTCTCCCCCCTCAAGGGCCCTTCCACGATGGTTGCATGGAGTCCAGCGGGTTTGAACCTAAGATAACCTAGTTGGATCTTGATGCATCAATCAGGAATCCTTGCCTACAGAACCAGATTGGCCAATATTGTTAGATCGAGTAAAAATCGATGTGCTGATCGAGTACACAACTAGCGTTTCTTGCGTCAGGTTATCTCATCCTCAAATAAGCCGCGTAGCCCCATGATGTGAAGACCGGCCAAAAATCAAAAGCAAGGACAGCTAGAAACAACGGAAAGGGTCGTGGCCGGTATAGCTCCTGCGATTGCCACAGGTACAAGTACAACTAGAAACCCAAGTGTCGCCATCGCCGCCAAGTGTTTGGGGTCGAGGCAAGCCCCAAACCACAAGTGCTGTTGTCAGCCAAACGCCTCCACTAGAACAACTGCATCGATGTATGCCTTGAGCCCCTCATTACTCCAAGCAACTTCCAGAAGCTGTAGGTAGACCTTTAGGCCAAAATTCCTGGAGGGAGCAGAACTGGTTATGATACCTCACTAGTCACCAATTCAGAAAGTTTCCACCAACAACATCCAACAACTATTTTGCCAGCAAAAGTTGCAGGTTCTTTGTCTAATTCTTGCTTGGTAAACGCATTTGCTGCGGGTTGGTGGTATCTTGTCACTTGTCTGCAAGATGGCCTGTGTAGGGGAACCTCTGTAAAGCAGGTTTGTCCTTTGTGTGTTCATGCTTAATTACCAAATCAAAACCCATCCATGAGACCAACAACTTCAAAGGTTGTGTTGTGATGGAGGCTGTGCGTCGTTGCCCGCAAACAAAATACTCAAAGACTGCTTGTGGAGGTTCATTTGTTGTTTCAGCTTCATTACGGTTTTCCTCTAAAGGCCTAAGCTACAGCTACAGTACATGTCTTGGAATCTGTTTGGTGGCAAGCAAGAACGACAATTTCACCAGCTTCACCAAGCGGACCTGAAACTGTCATATGACTAAAGCATTCAGTGAGTCATGTGCGGATTCTGAAACTCTTTGTTCTCATGCATGCGTGTCCGGCACCTGTTGTGTGTTTGCTGATCATTTGCAACCCAAAATGCGGCTGCAGCCTCACCTGGGACACAGGCAACTTGGACAAAATACAGGGTTCCTGGCTGCCTTTGCCATAAGGCCTACTCTACGTTCCACATGTTACTACATGGGGTATTGAAAAAAACACGTATCTTTTGCAATACCTCGAAGTCATGCTATCGTTTTTCTTACTGTTATCGTTTTCTCAGGTGTTGGTTTCTTCGCACACAGGAACGGTTAAATTAGCAGATTTCCAGTGAGGTTTGAAAGCTACTAAGGCCTTTGTAGGTTCTCAGGCCTTCCTTAGGCAGGGGGGAAGTGTAGGAGGAGGATAGTCAACTCTTCCATGAACATTCTCTATCTATTGTTGATGGGACAGGTTGAAATCCATGAGATGTACATGCATAATCATGGTTATCGTTTGGTTTACTATACTCTTATCGTTTTCTGGGGTATGAATGCATCAGTCATTAGTAGTGTTAAGGTGCATGCCAATACAAAACTGCTGAGCGGAGGGTTATTTCATCAGCCCACATGTGATGGCCTTCGGCCATTGCAAATTTTACATGTTTTTTGTGTTCCGTGTTGAGACTGTTGCTCCACAAACCGAGCCTGGTGTCATGGCACTATATGGCAATCATGAAAGAATCAGCTTTCTACCCCCTCCGAATAGATTCCATACAACAGTTGGTTGCTAAATTAACAACTTGGAGTCTTGGAGCCACAAACGTCCCATGTATTTGCCTGAGGAATCTTCATACGCAAAACAAGTGTTTCTCTGGCCTGATAGCATTCCAGACTTCAGCTGGGAGAGTTTCTGGTAGATATCTTCGGCCTGAAACGGAATCAGCCCAACTTTATGCGATGTGAATCACATATCACATACAAAGTACTGTGCATGTATCTAAGTACAGCGATGATGTAAAACTACGCGTTTGCGTGTCCAGTCGCGTACGAGTATCTTCCGTTGTGCCAATACTTAAACTATGGTCTCTTGGACAGCTGCATTCATTGCACCTGTCGAGTGTAAGTTACGCCTCTGTCCATCTCCATTTGTAGTAGTTGTTCTCAGTTCTCACTTGTTCCTTTGTTCAAACTGATATCCTATCGCCTTTCAAACGTCTCAGTCTTAGTCCGAGTGGAATTTGCGTGCGTTGGTGCGACCTTTTGGGGGTATCCGCCGACCCCCTGCGCCTGAGACCACCACAGGTGTGGATTACTGCGGTGGCTGTGTCAAGGGTGGCGCCCCCGGCATAGCTTCTTGTTACTACTAGTAAGGCACTTGTTACTAGAAGCGATGCACTCGTTTCTAATGGCTTCTTGTTACTACTAGTAAGGCAATGGTGTTCATCAAAAGACACTTTCTTTTTATGAGGCTTGCAAGCCGCCAGAACTGTGTCTCTATCAGGCTTCAAGACTGTCGTCTGGCATGTTCTTTACCTTCAAAACCTGGTTAACACAGCGTTTCTTGCATCGTTCGTGGGTAATGCGTTGGCACATGTACAGTACATACATTCACTGCTTAGATGTACATACAGTAATATGTTCTTACTGTTGTCGCTTGGCTCGCCAGCTTTTGTCTGAATTATGCGCTTGCATGTCCAAACCTGTATTATCTTCCCTCGTGCCACTTTAAGTATGTGCTCTTTGACAACTCTATGTATTGTACCTTTCGTGCTTGCAGGCTTAAAATATATGTTTGGCCCTAAGTACATGGTATATCGCTTTTGGTGACAATATTTGTTGTCAAGTTGTCATCCAATGCTTTCCATTCTGGGCCGAGTAGAAATTGTGCGCATAGATCATAAACACTTGTCTTCCTTGGTGCGAATCTCTTGGTGTGCTGTATTCAAGGTTCTTGAGACATCAACTATGTGCAAGCACTTGAACATCCAATTCAGCCATCAGCGAACATTTCTTAAGTGCTTTGTGGTCTATGGATGTCTATGGAACATACATTCTGCTTGGATAATGAATGTGATTTTGCAACTTTGTGTAAAAACAGAAAACTATGTGCTTACATTTCAAAATATGTTGATGCTGCGGGAAAGTTGTTCTTGATATTCGATATGTAATGCGCAAGAACAATTGAACGAGCAACACGCGCAAAAAAAACATGCCAGATCTTGGTAGATGCTTTGCTATTGGGCCTTTCAGCTGGCTTAACTGTTGTGCGATAGTTGTAGCAGCCGCACGTAGCAAGTAAGTAGCAAGTACCGTAGTCAGTAGTCAGCATTACTATGACTATGAGGAGGAGTAGTAGTAGTAGTGGTGGTGGTAGTAGTAGTAGTAGTAGAAGCAGTAGTAGTAGCAGCAGTAGTAGTGGCAGCAGCAGGAGTAGCAGTAGCACTAGCAGTTGTAGAAGTAAGTATATCTATATAATAGGTATTAGCAGAAATAGTTACGTAATATCTCTGCTGTTCTACTGGCCTGCTGCATGAGCTGCTGCGAGACAGCAAACTCTTTTGCACCAGCACCCGACATCTTTTGAGATTTCTGACCTTGGGCACTTCACAAAGGCCAACACATTGAAGAATGCGTTCTTGATACTTGGCTGACTTGGCTCAAATCCTGCTCAAACCGTTTGCAAACCTGATAACATGCTTGGACTGATCGCGTCTTTCAACGTAGCAGCAATCCCGGTGTAGCGTCTGAAGCTCAGTTTTTGGCCAATGTAGTTAAGGATTGCCAGCTCATGACCAATCCTTTGTGGATCGGAACAACTTGACTTGTTGCAAAGGATTTCCACCCCTCAAAAGGCTAGAGCAAAACAAACACAGGCGCTCAAAACATGCGAAATTATGTTGACTCAAAAAGAAGAAACTTACTCAGTTTCCCCAAGACTCGTCCCAGCATCTTCGGTTTCCAGGGTGGGAAGGTGCAGGAAGGGTGTTGTCGGCTTTAGGCCTTTCCAGTCCTGAGGAAATTCGCCTGCGAGCTTCAAACCAAACAAACTAACTACCTATGCAAAGAGAAGCAAATAAAATCCATATCTGCCGGGACAACACTGTCTTGATAGCTCCGAACCAAATCTCTTCCTCACATTCATGAACTTCCGATTCCTAACAGGTTAGAACAAAGCCGCCAACATGTTCTGTAAGTTTATCGACCACCGAAGGGGTTCAGGCCAAGAAAAAAACATGTCCCAATTTGTGAGCTGCTATTTTGGACACTGGTTGGGATCAAGAAACAATTCAGGGGTTGAAGCAAGTTGATTGCAAGTTGATCCTACGGTGCTGCATGGCACATACTTGCGACGTATGATGCCACCAACACCCCAGACGGGTCAAAGTCGGTTGCCTCAAGAATGTTGTGATGTCATAAATTGGGTCAATGTATTGTATATATAATTGTTGACTGTGACGGACTGTGATGATCGGAAGACTAAAAGGCAGAACTGGCCTCGCCACTCCATGCCACTGTGTTGCAAAGCCAGTGCGCAGGCAGGACCCTTTGCCCATAGTGGGAAGTAGGTAAACCTCAAACATGCTACTCAATTCCTCGCTGGTGTTGCTGAATTAAGCCCGAAGCAACTGCGAGCCCGAAACCAGATCTGTATCGGGCCTGTATACATGCTTTTGATTGGATCACATGTATGTGCACAAGGGCATCTAGTATCATCTAGCAGCATCTAGGATACAGTATCTGAGAGTACTTTGTCACTGCTAATGCTAATCAGGCAATTCACCCCCGCAGCTTGTAGGCCTTGCTCTACACACATCTTGTTACAGCAATGGTTCTGCTGAACACATCCCTTATTTCTTGGCTGTGGCACTTGACTGCAGCTTGGCGTGCAACCAAACATTCACCTTGGAGAGCTTGGGAATGCCAGGTCTCCAATGTAGACACGCTCTTTGCGGGAAAATCAACCACATTGTTGTCGTGCAAACAAATCGTTGAAGGGAGAAGAGTTGCCAACCTGTTCCTCCTTGGTGTGACACCAGACCTGTCTTCTTCCTATATTGATTCCGTGTGCACGATAGGCATAATAATTCAGGATGGGCTGTTGCCTTTTGCATTCGTTACCAACATTACTCTGTAGAATGACAAACCCTCAACTACACTACACTCAGCTTGATTCAATGGGGCAAGGGACCACCATTTTCTTCACCCCTACGGTGGAGCTCGGATGAGCAAACAGCAAAGCTGCGCCACCACGTTATCCTCATCCACCCATATTCTTTCAGTCCTCTTCTCAGATCAAAACTGGATCAACGTGCTGCCCCCAAACTGATATTTCTTCTCAAAACCCCGGTCATCCTGGCTTGGATTCTGGATTGAATGGTTTACAAAACATCATCTCACTTTTTCCTTGTGGACGTAGATCTGACAATACTCACATTGTTCTCTTGAAACATTGCTGGGGCATCCTATGCCACCTTCAGGGCTGTTAGTTTGATGGCTTTGCCAATAACTATGGGACAAGTTCACAAGTTCTTAGTATAGATCACAAGGCTTCACAAGGGTCGCAAGTTCTTTCAGAAAGGAGCCTTTCTCTTTCTGCGCTCTTCGCCTCCATGGGGTGCCAACCTCAGAAGTGGTTCTGCAGCTACGAGGCTTCCAGAGGTTACTTTGGGTCATGGGAATGCGTCGATCCTTTGTCCAAACAGGAAAGCAGGAAGTCTAAGGCGACCAAAATGGTCACTACGGGTTTTTGATGCACATACACTGACGCAAACATACTGGCATCTAGGCAACCCTTATGGCACACGACTTTTTGCCGTGTTCATGCAGGTGTTCGGCACTGAGCTCTACTTCAATGCAAGATACTTTTTCAGTTTGCACAAGAAATCTGGCCATACAATTACTAATGTTCCAGCCGACTGCATTGGCCTCTTGCGGTCTATTCTTAAGCAACAGTTCAGCATGCGCTGTTTGTTTCCAATGCTCATATCTACAACATCTTGGCTAGTTACTAGTACTGTCCATTTGCAAAAATGGTGTCCACAGTACACATCGACACATTGTCACTCAGAATAAACGTGTCAACAGGTGGAACGTGTTGTTGCACTTGAGTTTCGACAGTAATGGGTCTATCATGGTCCATCATCTTTCACAAAACGGAACATGCAACTGACGCCACATTGACCTCATCATCATCATCATCATCATCATCATCATCATCATCATCATCATCCAGCTTTCACAAAAACCACTCGATGCAATACTAGTACTGTAGACTTCTTTTAGACTTCTTCGCATCTAAGATCAATATCAATGTGACAAGAACACCAGATCACATGTAGCTTTGCACACAGTACTATTTTGGCCAATGGAATCTGTTGTTGATCAATAATACTTATCACACACCGCAATTCTCTTACTACTTTCATTCATGCGAACGCCCATGACCTCACAAGAACTATATAAGGGTACGGTCTTTTTGGCGTTTTGGATTTTGGATGGATCGATCATCCGGTTCAAGACTTCCTGAGCCTCCCGGCAAAGGCTGTGCTTACAAACCAGCACAGTGGCAGAAAGACAACAAGACGCATGCGAACCATGGCCGGACAAACTCTTGTTATTTCTTGATCAAGTAATTATATAGTAAAGTATTGATGTACAATGCTAAACATCAATACAATTGAAGGTTTCCTCATTTTGATCTCAGCCCAAGCAATATCTGATGATCAGGATGGTCTTCGGAATGTCAAATTCGGTGTTACTAAAGAGTAACAAATAGATGTTGTCAAATACTCTGAACCTAACTTGCGCGACATTTTCCACCAAACTTCTGCAACTAAGAGAAACTTCTGCAACCTCATATTTTGAACAAGGTAGACACATGCCACAATAGCGAACGTATGATGTTGCTCCAGTTGGCCACTTGTCTATTGCTTGAGCAGCAAATCATCGGAATGAATCCATTCTCGGAGGTAGCTACAGTTCGCACATGTATGTTTCATCTTTTTCTATGTCAACCGGAGGAGCCCTAAAGCCTACCATGTCATCGGTGTTTGTTTTTGGGCACCGCACCACTCCTTCTTGCTCTTTGACCAGCCTTCTCTCCAGTTGTTGCGGCCGGCAAGGCAGTCCTAAGACCAACTGCGAAAGCATGGGGATCGAGGTTGGTCATCGCATAAGAGAAGGGAATCGTGTGAATGTCTGAAGCAGATTTGAAGTGCATCGCTACTAGCAACAAGTGCATTACTACTAGTAGCACATAGCTATAGCAAGAAGCTACTAGTTGCGATGCACCTGTTCCTAATAGCGACGCCCTTGTGGGAATCGTGTGATGTCTGAAGTTCAATTGACCGAAATGACGAGGTCTTGCTAGATGAAATGGATGCTGTCTCGAACCTTCCTTAGCACGCAAGGAGGTATGCATGTATGTAGCATGGCGTTCAACAAGGGCACCAAAAGGGTCACTGTCACGTAAAATATGTTTAAACAGAACATGAATGACAGGTAACCACAGCTCCCACTGCTACAAAAGCCACGGCCTACAAAAACCAGGGCCAATGCGAAGGGGACAGCAAAGCCATCATCATTACCTGTGCATCGGAGCCGACATTTTTCAAGTGGAGCAAAACTTGCACCACCGCCACTGCCACTATATAAAGATCTTGTTTAGTATCGGGGCTGCAGTGAAAACTCGAACCAAAGTTAACCATACCATGATACTAAACTCCAGCAAAGCACCTCAACTTCCTTGTGAAACTATGTGGCTATCTGGCAAGCACATCCGAACAAGTTTCAGGATGGAAGATCAAAGCTGCTGACTTCGCTCGTAAAGAAAGTTCACCGACCGTGTTTGCCATGTTCATGAACTGAGGCGTCTCACAGCCGAGCCCCTTCATCTTGCAGCACCACATCTTCTTGCCGACTGACCAGCCTTGGTGACGCCCAAAACCAATGACATCCCATAACAAAGGGCATCGCTGCAAGGACGCTACTAAGTTACTAGTAGCTCCTGGCCTTACTACTAGTTACTAGGAACAAGGGCATCGCTACTAGTAGCAAAGGGCATTACTACTAGTAACTGACAAAACTTGTGGCCAGGACGTTGTCAGGGTGGAGCACTTAGGAATATCAATGGGAGATATTTTTTTTAATTCTACCCTTTCAAACCATCTAGCAGCTCAACACGTCACTCAGTTCAAATCTGACGTGCAGTTTATGTCACATTGCAGCGGGATAACCTCCAATCTCCAGGCAGGGAGATGGACACACCGAACTGAGAACGTTGCAGCTGGATATACACGGCAACAAATACAGGTCCACATACTCAAGAAGAACAACCACAAAGCGCACCCATTTAAGGGAGAGTTCCCCATTAGCCGCCCCAAACAATCCCGGGGGGGGGGGGTCGGCCCCCCCCCCCCCGTCTGTGTTTCGCCTCCGGGTCACCCCCCCCCCCCTTTTGTGTTTGGTAGTGTCCTAGGTCCCCTAGGCGTGTCTACGCTATACGTGTGTAGCACCTGTTCTCTTGTATAGATTAGTCTGTAGCTCTTCAGTCCGCTTTCGACCTAATTCATTTGGCTCAAGACTTAGTAGCCCAATACCTGCATCCGCAGCCATAGAAAAGGTGTGCATCGCTGCCGCTCGCACACCGATCGTATTCGTGTGACTCACTTGGTGTTTCGATCAGGTCCAGTTAAGCAACTGCCACTTCTGGGGGAACTTACCCCTCAAAGTGGTAGCGGAGCTTGTGTCTCCTGCTTCGCAACGGTCGATTTTGCATTCGTGCCGAATCGTCCGATATTCCGGACAGGGGACAACCAAGTAAGTCACTTGTCAGAAAACAAATAGACCATGGTCCAGATCTTTAACATAGATACGGACGAAGAGCATGACGACAGCCTGTCGGAAGCAACTGATCCAGAAGAAGCCTTCGCCGCTCAAGGCACGCGTCATCGCCATCAGCAAGGAAGGTCCTCGAGTTCGACATACCGGACGTACGAGGCACAACCATCAGCAGGTGTCAAGATGACGCCAAAAATTCCTCCGTCATTCGATGGACAGTCATCCTGGTTCGAGTTTGAAGATTTGATTGATGACTGGGTGAACATCACCACATTAAGCGCCGAAAAATTAGGCCCATCATTGAAGAACGCTCTAACCGGAAACGCCGAATACTACAAAAAGATGCTCGACAATGAACAGCTTCGTCATGAAAGAAACGGCATTACGTATTTCAAGGAGACGTTGCGCCCATACTTTGTCAAAGGAGCAAATCATGTTGTTCTTTGGCGTTTCATGCAGCTCTTCAGGACCTGGCGCGGAAACGGAGAATTTGTCAGCTGGATCGCTCGTTTTGAAGTCGCTAGTAAGAAAGTCATGGAAGCCTTCATGGGCTTGTTAGATCTTTCGACTGTTCCACAGCCTGATGATTTCAACTTTACTGATATCCTCTCGCAACAGCAGTACACGCTACTTCAACAAATTCAAGATCCAACAGAAAGAAGAGAAAAT